CGCATGAAAATTTCTTTCTTGAGCAACTCAATACATTGGTATATTTAAATTGCATATTTCTTTGCAATCCAAGAAGTTTTGTTTTTAATTGTTCGCAGGTCGCATTTGCGATGAAGTGCAGTCTTACGAATGGAAATCGTTGGATTACTTCCAGATTAAATTGTAGTTGTGCGAAGGGATAAGTACAAAACTAGTATTTTTTTATGAAAAATAGAAAGGAATATTAAATTATTTAAAATTATTTAAAAGGTTTTGCAAATAGTATATATACATAGAATTTGATGAAATTTTCCTTAAAGAAAAAAATTTATCTAAATTTTAATTCAATATATTTAATCTTTAAATTTAAAGTAACTGCACATATTCTTCCTTACTACATTCAAAATTTATTTTGAATATATTTTATATAAAAATTTGTTAAAAATAGATTAAGAATTGTGAAGTCTTCGTGTATTCCCTCCATTCCTACCCCATCTTTTGGATGTACTCATTAAACTTGAATTTGTTATTAAAATTGCTGTTCTGATGAAGATGATAATCATGAAATTGGAATACATTATCATTAAAATATTTAAAGAAATTTAGCAGCCACATAAAATTCACCAACAAATTATGTTAATAACAATAATGAGTTGTGATTGTGTTGGTGTTGGTGTTGAAGTTGAAGTTGTAGTTGCAGTGGAAGTTGCTGAAGTGAGCAACAGCAATGTGGTTGGGAATTATATTTTTAGGGTTTCATGGTACTAAACTGATATTGGAAACGTCTAAGGAAAGAACAATGATGGAAAATCAAAACCATTAAATATATACTATCTTTCAGTTTTAAGAAATAATAACATTCATTCTAGCTTATGTTTTATTGTTTAGAATGATATCAAACCTCGATATGTGTTTTCAAAGTACTTATAGTTCTAAAAAGAGTTTAAAATCATTTACAGACTATTAATCTATTTTGTACCTTTTGAATGAATATTTTTTAGATATATATTTTTCATTCAAGTATTTATTTAAAAAATTTTGAACCCTTAAAGCCGTGAACCCTAATTTTGTTTAAAGCAAGCAACGGAATTTTCCAACTTCAGACATGCAAATTATCAAATATTGATGTTAAATAACAAAAGTCGTACTTGGGAGTTGTTATTTTAGTTGCACACCCATGAACATTTCTGGTAGTAAAGCTGCACAAACGCCTTCTTGACTACTCTTTAAGTGCTTTCACACAATATGAAACTACAACTTAAGCTTTTTATGTTAATGAAGTGAGTTCTGCTACTTCATTTTACGTTCTTTTTATTGATCGAAGCTGCATTAAAATTGCTGCAAATTGGTTAAATTTGAATTTTGTATATACAATACTCATACCCACTTAATTCAGTCAGTGATATAAGAACAATAAACATATAAGTATTCAAATTCATATTAATATATTATGCGACTTAATATAGTTACGGTCTGACATGGATTTTGTTATCAGTATATGAAAATTCTATACCCACTTACACACACACAAATGTTACAATATAAGCATAAGGACGTTTTGAAATACCAGCAGAAAATGGAGACATATCTCTCATTTCCTTCACACTACTGCGATAGTTGCCCTTGGTTTTCAACATCAACATAAACAAAGCCAATAGTACGATGGTGCTATAGTCTACTTCTGCGAAGAACACAACCTATAAAAGGGTGTTGCAGGCAACAGGTACATGCATCATCCCCACATAATATCGAGAGGTATGGAAAAAAACATGGCAGTCTCTTCAGACGAAGGAAATGAGTTCACAAAAGATTGTGGTATGTAGAAACAGGAATAGTTTTACAGAAAAGTAAACCGTCTTTCTGTTGGCTTTAAGCTTGGAATATCAATCTGATTACAGATACAGACAGTGACTAAAAATATGAAAAGAACATTTTTCTTAACTAATGTCTGGCAAAGTTAGCATTAATTGTGTCTCATTAGAAATGCACTAAAACTATAGATGACCCTCTATTTCATCCATCTTGGCACCGCCGTAACGAACAAAAGAGAAGTCAGTCTGGTAATCAAAAGAAGAATTATCACTGTCAATAGGATATAGAGCTCAAAACTTACAAAAATTGGGCTCTACAGGTAAGTTATCCTACCTGTGCTTCGGTATAATTATTTACAAGTTATTGGCGACAACCGCATTTGAATGGGTTGAACAAAAGAAGGCATAGAGATCAATTGTATAGAGAAGCACTAACAATGTTCAATGTACGAATCTGTAGTGCTGCGTCAGGCCGAAACCCAATAACGGGTTGTTAAGGGCAAAAAAATAAGTAAGTAACTTTAAAAGAAGATTTAGAATTTTAGATTTAGATTAAGAAAGCAATCACAAGACCATTTTACTATAAAATTTATATTTATTAAATAATTTTCACTACTCCGTCTCTTCGTTAGGTTATCTTCGAATGCCTTTAAATACACCCTTCTCTCGAATAATTTTACTTTAATTCAAATAAACTTTATGCTTTTATCTCCTAATATTTATTAGCTTTTATTAAAGTTTCTAAACTCCTTTACTTAATCCTATTCACAATACCATTCTTCTACACAATATATATAATGGGCCATTCCAAGGATTTATAATACAAAGAGCTTGCAATACAATTAATTAAGTTGCTTTGCATTTTGCCAGTGTTCATTATCTGAGCTCAATTTTGACCCATTGAAAATATATGTTGACCCTACCCAATAGCAGCAAAAAGTGTTAACAAATTATGTTATCAAATCAGCCAAATTTATCTAAATTATTGCGCCTAAAATCACACACACACAAGAGCTAACCAAACACATTAACTCTCAGTGTCTGCTAAACAAAACCACTTAAAAATGGTACAAAAGCAAAAACAAACAACAACAGAAACAAAACACAAAAACACAAAACACAAAAACCAAAAACAAAAACAACAAAATGCTATGGTAAATGGTAAATGGTAGGACGACAAATGTTATGCTTAAGCCTTTAGCCACAAAAGTGGTCTTATGTTGATTACACATAGAAACACAGATTCCTTAATACAAACAAGCAAATTTTAACTCAGCTCGACCCTTTCGGATAACATTGGAAACAGGACATTTTCATGCCATAAAAAGGATACGAAAAGTGACAGTTTCAACAATTCACGCGCTCTCGCTGTATTTTAGTTAAAGAAACCAAACAAAATGTTACAATGCCATAATATTCGAAACAAAACGGAAACGGAAGTTATGTTAAATTTTTTGAAGCATAAAAATAGGCGCCAAGAAACTTTTGTACAAATATTGGCACTACATGGTAAAATTATACTAAGTGAAATAAAACGAAAGTGTGTCGAGCATGTTTTAAACAATTCTTTTTTTTACTTCTCTATTTTTGACTTTTTGAGAAATTTTTAATACAACAGTAAAAACAAAAACTAGTTGGAATCAATGGAGTCAAAAAATGGGTAAACATTTCGGGTTATTATTGTTGTCGTTATTTGGCTACTTTGGCCACTTTAGGTTTCTTTTTAGGGCCCTTTCAAAACGTTTTCGCAGGCAATTTCATTACTTTTGCTGCTTTGATTGTAATTTTGTAATTTTGTTAATTAAATCGAGCGAAAGTGCAGAAATGACCCAAATTTAAAACTCTCCCTAATTTTAAGAAAGGTCCTACAAGCATTGGTCCTTTATGTATACAAAGTAGTGTAGGGAAAGATTGTTAATGCGAGCTATTTAATATAACGATCGTGTGAAATTAAAAGGAAGAACTTGATGTTCTACTGACTGCAAATAATCTATAATGCACTGCTAAGCTCTTGCCTTGGTGGTATACATTATATTGCTGTACCGAATCCGACTTTAGTTGTTTCATCATTTAAAGGACTTGCTGGAATAATGAATAATACTAACCAAATTTTATCAAATAAATAACATTCTACTACAAGTCCCAATTCAAACAATTACATATTTTTATTATTTATACTCTAAATATTGTTTCGACTTGATTGCACGGTTTTAGGAGCTTAAAAAATAAAGAGAAACGAAGCAAAATTTATCTTCAAACTAAACAGATTAACAAAATGTAGATACTTACATAAAAATCAAAAAGAATAAGGTAGGTTATGCAAACAAAACGGATTGCATCCAAAAAACAACAAAACTACATTTCACAAAGAAACTACAGGTCAATCATTAGTGGACTTAATGGACTTAATGTCCTGTCATCTGAAAAGTAAAAGAAAAGATTATACTGAAGTACGAATTCTGCTAATAAAAATGCAAGGATTGAACTATGATTTCTCCATAAATTTTATCTCCTCTTCATTATATAATAAAACACTAATCTGTATCCAGAATTATTACTGTTTTAATTTTATACACTAGCTTAATGAGATTTTTGCTCCTTACATAAATTAATTTTACTAAAAATTTAAAATTGTTTTAAAGTCGAAATCATCAAGCATTACTTTCAATCAAATTTTATTATGTTGCAAGAGAAGAAAAATGGAATGGAAGAGATGGAAGAGACTACTGTAATCTACTTAACTCAATCCTTTTCCACCAAAATGTTCCGATGAATTTTTTCAGCGCTTGTGTCCATAAACTAAATTTTAAATTGATTTTTGTCATAATTTAATGGTCAACCCATTATTTTCATCCATTCTATTCATAATATTGAGATCTACTACGTTGTATGGAAATGCGTTGTTTGTTAGACTAACAAAAGGATTATTTGCGTCTCCTTCTTTGTGTCTAAGCTTTTCTGTTTGGCCTAATTGTCTGGAAGCACTTTCAATTTTTGCTTTATTCTGCTTAACAAACACTTTTCCAATAGATTCTAC